TAAAAAAAAGCTGTTACATAAAAATGGCCCCCCCCCAAAGCCTGTCTTTGCCAGCAACTATGGCCAGCCTGGTGAAACCAGGCAGAAGCAATTGCTTGAAACATCCCCCAAAACAGATTTTGGACCAGTTTAAAGCTCCCCCAGGGGGCCTTTAAATGCTATTTAAACAATGTTAAGAATCTGCCTTAAATGAACCAAACCCAACTGGCTAAGGAGGGAAGGATGTAGCTGCCAGGACATTAAAAGACCGTTATGGACTTTGCTTTTTCCCTAGGGCTGCTCTGGAGACATGTTCTACCTGGAGCCTGCTGATGGACCTGCAGGCTCAGCTGCTCCTGCTGCCACCAAACTTGATATTTGAGGCAATTTCACATGCCACCGATGCCCATCGTACTGCAATTAAATTGCCATCCTCTGCTCTCATTGCTGGAAGCAGGTGGTCTTTAATCAGCCTTTGCATCACTCAGCTTTCACCCTGCCTCCTCCAAGGCTAATGAGGAAACTGCTGGCTGCCCAGGGTGCCGTCCTCACCTTCCCTTTTCTCCTCAAACAGCAGGGTTGGGGTCATTGCCCCAGGGCAAACCCAGGAGGTACGGGTAGTTTAAAAGCAAAGGAAATGTAGAGATCGAGCATGCATCCACATGTCACCTGCAGCCAGACCCGGGTAAGCTGTGCTGCAGTCCAGGCTTGGTGGATGCAAGCCAGAGCAGATGCCATGCTGTTTTGTTAGCGGTCCTGAGTTCATCAGGCCGTGCTCAGCACTGCCACAGCCCAGCAAGCCAGCTCCCAGGGAGGCAGGGGCTCGCTTCTGGCCATCTCTCCACCTGGCTGGAGCTGGCGTGCACCTGCCTGAAGCACAGTGCATGGCTTTTCTACTTGAGAAGGATATTTTCCACTTCAGCAACATGAACTCCAAAGCTCCCCACTGCAAACCTTCCCATGTGCCTCCTGTGGCACCTGAAGTGATGCCGAAGAGGACCCAGCATGCTTCCTCTGCTCCCACATTAGAGGGCATCCAGCTAACCATCTAAAACCAGCTTCTCTTGTTCCCCTAAACCTCAGCCTTCCTCCCTACACCTCACCCTCAGACAGCATTATATCACCTTCAAGGATGCAGAGAACCGCAGATGCTCATGCTAAGCACAACCCCCCCTTTCCTCCAGACATACACACGCTATAAGTTGCTGGCTCATCGCCCCAAACGGAGTGGAAGCGGCAGGGAGTGAGGCAGAAACTTATTAGCAGTGATATTTCCCCGGACCCTGGCGTGGCGCGCACTATTAGTTCTGATTCGGCAGCTCCCTCTGCAAAAGCGTATTGTCCCCTAATGGGAAATCTACAAGGCGAGTTTGACTTCTTTATTAAAAACCAACAACCAAAGGATGAAAAAAAATTACCTCCCTCCACTCTCGCTCTTGTTCTGCCTTTTCATGGCTCTTGTTCCTCAAGTGCCATTGTGAAACACTTCCTCCTCATTTTCTCCTTATATTTTTGGCTTTTTTTTGCTCCCCCCCATTTTCTTTTTCCAGTTGAGAGAAAATCCCTTCGGTTGAGAGTGGGAAAAGTGACAGCTACTTAAAACGCACCAATGTACAGACTCAACCCAGAGGAGATGACCCATTGAAGTGTGGTCTTTAGAAAGAGGTGTTTATACTGTCTAAAGCAGAGTGTGGGAAGGATGTATTTAACCACTACAAACCCTGCCCACACTGCTTTTTTCCCCCTCTCCCAAGCATGCTGGGGGAGTTGGAAGAAAGGCACACTCATGGGACTTCACTCCCATCCTACAGCACTGCACACTTCATCTTCTTCACCTTCTCAGACTGACGCTGCTGCCAGCCTGGCTTAGATCCCATCACTGCAAGACTGACAGGTTATCAAGCAAACTGTCTCCATTGCCAGTACCTCCCTCCAGATGTCCTCGAACCACAGTGTGCCTCAAAGTGACAATGTGATCTAATCTTCCCAAGGAATGCTGTGATGCTTTACCTCTCCCAGCAGCAACCTCTCCTCTAGGGGTTTGCACTTATGCTGGCACATGAGAAGCTCAGCAACGCCTACAGCAGGCCAGGACAGCCAGTGTCAGGGAGATAAACAATCAACTGCCCATGATTGATTCAGGGACTGATAATTTCCAACACTACAAGTGTTAATGCACAGCCAAAGCTCTCTCCTCTGCATCCAAGCTGCAGTGAGTGCCTCCTGGCTATGGGCATGAAGAGCATCTCAGCCAGGAGTTCCCTGGGACCTGAGAGAAAGGCTCACCAGGTGCTCAATGAACCTCTCCAGTCAAAAACAAGGGCAGAGGGTAGATTTCCATCCCATCTCCAGCTCTGCTCCTCGCCCTGTGTTTAGCTGTGGCTCCTGCAACATTACTTCCAGTGACTTCCCCATGGCCAAGGAGAGGGAGGAGGCCGGCTGGTCAGGCACCGTACTTACAAACACCTCTATGGTGACGGGGACAGTGCTGTTGAGCGGTGGGTTCCCAGCATCCTTGGCCATCACAGTCAGGTAAATAACCCCATTGGCCACCTGCTCATAGTCAAGGGGGTGGTTCACGCTGATCACTGAAAGGATACAAAGCAGGGTGGTCAGGGGGCATTCACACGCTGAGCAGGGAGCTGCTGCTTGTCAGGAGCACCTTGGTCCTTGGACCAGTGCTTACCTCCATACCCTTCCGACACTGTGATGTCAAAGTAATCTTGAAAGGCAGATGCCTGCACAATGCTGTATGTGATCTGGTTGTTCGGAGGGGAGTCCTCATCAGATGCCTGGGGTGTGAACAGAGGGAGTAAATGAGAATGAGAGCTGTGATGTGCAACAGGAGAGAGACGAGGGGAAAAGAGGTGCAGGCTGGGCCCAAGGAAAGTGGAAAAGCGATGGAGGAAGATGCACTCATTGGGGAAGATGCACCCCAAGGAATTTTGCAAACCAGCCTCTCCTCCCATCCTGACTCCCATGAACAACTCGCTGGGTCCCCCTCTCCTGATCTCCCTGCATTACTCAACCAGCCTGGCCCCTATGGAGGGAAAGCAAGCCATGCTTTTGCATCATGGCAAAGTTAGGTTTTGTGCTGAACGAGCAAACAGTCTTCCCTACCTGCCTTCTCTCCACAGCAGAGGCTTACAGCTCCATCAACAACAGAGCACCTTCCCCTCAGTGCCTGCTGACTTTATTGAGCAGAGCAAGGTGATACAGAGGTAGTGCCTGTGCCCTGGGAGAAGCCCCAGATCCTGGGAATGCTGTATAGACATGGGACTTGGAGGAGAGAAGGAGGGAGGCAGCTCCCAGCTGCAGCGCTACACCTGACTGCACTTGCAGTAAAGCATAAAGCATTTTTTAGGAAGAACATAGGAGGGATGGATGGGAACCTAACCCACTCCCGTCTCCCACTGTGCATCCCAAGTGGAGGAGCTGCTCCAGTCCCTCACCCGGAGCCGGACCACCTGGGTGACGGAGGGCTCATTCTCTCGCAGAGCCCCCAGGTATGCCTCCTTCTGGAAGGTGGGGACGTTGTCATTAACGTCAAGGACGTTGATCCTGACGCGTCCTGTCGTCTCCTCCCCGCCACCATCCCGGGCGATGACGGTCAGGGTGTAACGCTGCATGGTCTCAAAGTCCAGCCGAGCTGTCAGGAGGATTATGCCCGTGTCCTTGTCCAGTGAGAAACTGAGAGGACAAGAAAGGAGAGGGAAAGCCCTGGTGACCACATGTTGTGGATGGAGAGATGGGGTGGCAGCAGCCTGAGAGCTAGCACCACAGCGGGTGAAGTTCACGGCTTTCTTCTGAAACGTATTAAGTCCCAGAGCATCTTCAGGAGCTTAGCAGAGGTGGTGGGGTAGAAACCCTCAGTACTGCTCTACAGGCAGAGAAAGGGGCTTGGAGGCCTCCACATCCCTTCTGCTTGGGCAGCCCACATATCTTCCCCAAATGCCCACCATGACTAAGCCAAACACAAGGCTCCAGAGCCAACAACTGTTGGTCTCTGTAGGTCCCGATTTAGCAAAGTAATTAAATGTGCTGAGCATCAGGCATATGCTCAAGTTAACTCACCCCTTTGGGAGACAGCATAGTGTGGTTTTCATAGGGTGTATCACAGGGACATATGCATGTAGGACATAACAAATGCCCTTAATTGCCATCTGGCTTCTTAGTGAGGTTAGAAGAGGATTTTGAAGAAGCAAAGTCATGCTGGTGGGTTCAATCACACTTACCGATCAGGGTCATCACTGAAAAAATAACTGACTTTCCCATATGTGCCCACGTCATTGTCAGTTGCCTGAGAAAATAAAAGTTTATTGATAAATGAAGGTATTTATGGGAATGTTGCATTACACACACTAGTGAATCCATTATGTCCTATTTACCTCCTTCTATCCAGATGCCAGCAGGCAACGCCAGTGCATACCTTATGTGCCACCATTTATCTCCCAAGACATGAAGGGCTGGGGCTGTCTGTGCTTGCCTGGGTTATCCTGCACGTCCCTGACTCCTAGCCTGCTCTAGATAACTGTTCTCCATCAGCATCTCTCAGCATCACTCCCCAGACCTTTGACAGTGGGAAATTTTATGCCTACTTACTTTCCCTTACCCACTGAGCTGATCTGGGAAGCATATGTGAAATAAATATCTCCATGGACCATTCTTGTGGGCCACCCATCCTGGCCCCATGAAGCAAAGAGCCAGGACTCCATAAGCACAGGTCCCAGCATTCTCTGTGCATTCAAGGCTGGCAGCATGCTGGGGCTGCAGGGTGAAAAATGAAAACCTATCCCACTTCAAAACTCCCTCACAGGCTAAAATACAGACCAGGAAAAGCAAGGAAAGGGGCGCAGACCCTGCTTTCCACAAGCAGATCCCACCAGGCAACCCTTCTGGAAGTGCAATCTGCCGCAACCCCACTGAAAGACTGATACGTCTCAGGATGCTGCAGCATGGGCAAGCAGTGCCAGCTCTCATCCAGTCCAGTGCAGAAGTGGCTGCACGTACACCGCCACCAGCTGCTGAAGCTGGAGCAGGCTGGTCACGGCTAAGCAGCCAGCACCTTCTGGGGAAGGTGTGCAAAACTCAGCGTGTCAGCTCTGGATGAGCAAGGCAAGATTTATGCATGTTTTAAAGTTTTTTCTCTAATGAATATATAAAATATGCATGAGCAGCAGCAGGAAAAAGAAGCAGAAAAAATTATTTTTAGGTGAGGAAAGTGGAATGCAAACCCCAAAATACCCTTTTTCTCCCCCACTCTATTTTCTAAATGGAGACCTGTCTGGATTACTTAGATACCAACAGGTCTCTGAAAAAGCAGGGTCAAAGACACATTTTATGTCCAGACACCAGCAAAAGGCTGTATTTTAGGACTGGCATGGAACACAACCTATTCCCGAAACCTTCCTGATTTATTGATGGCCTTGATTACCCTTGACAGTAGAGTAGGAGCTTGAACACACCAAACTGCCTTACCCCTATGTGCTGCTTACCTGCCACACCATGGGGCGGCAAAGAGGAAAAGGCATGAAACCTAGCTAGGATTAATTCATTTTTTCTCTCCCCAAACGCTTTCCCAGCTTGTTTTCCTGCTGCTTTACACCAGCTGAGGAGTGGGCTGGTGGAGCCAGTCTTTCAGACCTACTGATTTTACTTATTTTCCTCTCCACTCCTAAGATGCGTTTTACTTCTCATGTTCATTGCAATTGCATTCAACAAAATGGAGCAAGCCTGCCAAAATCCACCTGAAGAGATGCCCAGAGAGTGAGCAGCACCTGCTCCTGAGGGCAAGCCCCCTCTGGGATGCATCTCCCTCCTCAGAGGACACCAGGGAAGACACTTATGAAGGTGCTCCATCCCAGGCAGAGCTTGCCTGCTTTTCTAATGGAAACACCTGGGAGGAGTGCGGTTAATCTACCATCTGCCCACCCCAGCTTCCATCAGCCAGTTAATACTGGTATTAATTTCTCATCCTAACACCTGCCACCAGCCCAGGTGGCTGTGAGTTGTGGTGGCAAACCCCCAGAGCTTGGCTGGGGCTGAACACTAAGGGACCTGGGTCCTCTCTCCGCAAAATCCTTGAGTGCTTTGAGCATCCTCAGCATTGCCTGGTACAAGCCAGCCCTTGACCTTCCAGCCAGGACTTTTTCCAGCCATTATTTCTGGGCCCACAATCTCTGTGAACCCCTAGGTCCCATTAATCCCTAAGTGGCTGGTGTGAGATCAAAGCCCAAAAAGGCATTTTCCATGCATCTGGATCAGCTGGTGATGAGATAGTGATTTACAGGGAGCCTGACAGTGCCAGAGAGCACAGGCAAAATGAATTCCCTTCATTTGGCCCCATACAATTGCACTTGTAAGTGCTTATTGCAGTGACAGGCAACACTGGGAAAGTGTAATTTTCTTCTGACGGGGGAAAATATATAGGGAAGGAGGAAGGTTAAAAGAAGGTTAGCACAGATCCTCTTGGTGTGGGAGGTGGTGGGGAGCCAAACCAGGAGGGTGGGCTGGACCCCAAGCTGTGGGGATGCCAGGCCAGCCAAAACTGCCAGTAACACAAAGTGACTCGCTCACCAGGAGCCAGGAGGCTGGGCAACCTAGCTCTGCCCTATACACCACCTCACAAGCCAGGCTAATTAATTACCCTGATTTACACCAGGGGAGGTGGGAGGTGATGCCTGCTTGATGGCTTTCCTGGCAACTGAACATCATGGGCATAATGCAGGGCAACAGAGCAGGTTACTTGAGCGTGACAGGGAATATGCAAAAAGCGAAACCATGCACGCTCAGCATATTTAATTTTGGATGTACACTTGTTTCTGCACTACCAAACTTTTTCCCTCTAAGGGTAAAAAAGATGCTCACATGCTCAAACCCCTCGGGAGGTAACAAAGCAATCCTGAGAGTTCCCAGGGAACACATGCAACCTGCATGCAGAATACCCCAGATCCCATTGAGACAACTGCTTCTGGGGCCTTTCACAATCCCTGGGTACCAGCTGTTTTCTTGCAGCTCAGCCCCTTCACCGACTGGTCGTCCCCCCCGGCACGCAAGCATCCCTCTCAGCAGCTGAGGGAGGAAAGGCATCTGGCTGGAAGTATCCCGGGGTTCCACCTGGAGAAGCAATCAAATGGCTTTTACGTCTGCTCCTCTGCTGCCCAGAATATTAAAGCAGGATTTGCCCACTGAAGCCTGCAAAAGGGCAGGATGAAAACGCAGGTCCACATCTGTACTTTTATGAGCTGTCACAGGCACAGACCATTTCTAAAAAAACACATTTGTGCAGCTAAACTCTGGGAGAGTGGCAAGAAGAGAAAGCCTGGATAACCCAAAGGATTAATTTACTGAGCTGCAGCATGGTGTGGACACCCAATACGCGAATCACAGGTGCACAAAAATACCCACACCCAGTTCTCAATCCATCTCCATCCCCCAAGCACAAGTATTTCGGGCATCTCCCTTTTGTCCCACCAAGGGCTGCCATGTACACCTTTCCCCACCAGCTTGTGGGCCAGCAGAGCCAGAGGCAAAAACGAGGAGCCAGTGAGCAGTTCTGGTCTCCTGGGCAAATCTGCAGGAAAGGGCATGTCATCCAATTTGTTCAGGAAACAATAGCAATGTTTGACATGTCATCAGGATTGACGGAGCAGAAATTTACATGGGAGAATTCAGTTTTAAACAGCTCCATGGAGCTTCGCCCCTAATGGTTTCGACATTCATCATCCGCCGCCGAGCTCACTCAACGACTCCTTAAACTGCCCAAGATTAACTCTACTCAACAGCAGCTTCAGGGAGCATGAAAGGAAGAGCAGGGAAGGGCTGAAAGAGCCAAGATGAGCCTTTCAGGGCAACACGAATCCCCTGTGGAGCCCCCAGTATGGCAGTCCTCCCCCCAAATCTGTCAGACAGGCATAAGCAGCTGGAGGTTGGTTGCAGGGGTGAGAAAAGTTGGAAGGATGACTGATACTGTTTGGATGAGACAGGCTGCCATTGCCTGCCTGTCTGAAGATGGCTTGATCAGCACCAAGGGAGCCAAATCCTTTCCACCTTTCCATCTGCATAGGTCTGCCAGAGTGGGTCCCAGCTCAGTTTGTTCTTATTCGCCCTCTTTGTTTTCCTTCCCCTACCTCGCATGCAGAAACCAGGAAATAAAAATTGATGGGGAGCAAATTGCTTTGGCCAGAAGCTCTCTGTTTAAAAGAGTTGTAGAGGGAAAGCAACTACAGGACATCAAAAAGCTGTCAGGGTATGGGAGTGACCAGATGTGAGTCTCGTCCTCCTGCTGCCTGCCTGGTCCCCTGGCCACGATGGGTGGGCAGCAGGGAGACCAAAGCACCACTGCTCGGGCCATGGGAGAAAGCAAATAGGAGGATTCCCGCCTGCTTCCTATTTGTTCTGCAGTTTTCTAGGAAAATGAGACGGGTGTGGTTGCTCCTTGGGGCAGAGTGGCAGCCACAGGATGGTCAGACCATGGTACAAGCAACCCAGAGTGGGGAGCCATGCCCTGTCATTATACTGATTTTTGGAGACACCTAAACCTGGATGTGTTAAACAGCAAGCATCCCTTCCTAAATGCAACCATTGCGAACTTCAGGTCCCAGAGGAATAACAGCTAACCTCTAGTATCCATCCAGATTGCGGTTTGATTTGTGATTTGGGGGAGAGAAATGTGAAGGGCCAAGAGCTTCCATGAGAAGCAATCGCCAGGCTGCAAAACCACATCAAGAAAACCAATAGAAAACCTACTTACAGTCATTATGCCCTTCCCACACGGAAAAACAGCTCTCTTGCCGGCATCACCTGCCCTGACCGTGCTCTTTCCCAGGCCTTCAAAGAGCAGCTGCCTGGTGGGAGGTGGCAATCAGGCACAAGTGGAGCTTGTGGCTGGCCGGCATTGCCAAGCTGGAGCCCAATGGCATGATTAGCTGAGAAGGTGGGAGTGGGGAAGCAGGGCAATGCCAAGGTACCACTGCTGCCGCCTTCCCCAGCAGCTCCAGACCACGTGCCGAGCCGGGAGCTCAATCGCCACTAATGACCCCAGAGGGTTGTGCTGAACCTGGCTGGGGGGGGAAAAATAGCCAATCAACCCCCCTGGGAATTGCAGAGCTTTTCCCCACCTCTTCTGCCAGCCACTGGCGAAAACTACAGCCTCCTTGATTGTGTTTTATAACAGTGTTCCGTGCAACATCAGCTCCTTGCAAGAGAGGTTAACGCTTGCCTGGGCAGCCTTGATTTAATGGGGAGTAATGTACTGTAGCCAGGCTGTTGCAATGGCTGGAGACCAGGGTCTAAAACACG